TTTGTGATCAGTCCTTTATCGCTACTTTTGTGTGAGAAAATGTTTTCCCAATTAGTGATCTTTCTGTTTGTTTTTAGTAATGTCTCTTTTGCTGTACAGAAGCTGCAAAGAGCATCTTTTGTCCCCTGCTTCACTGTCAAATTCAGGAGTTTTCCTGTCCAGACCTAGCTGTATACTTTCGCTGCAGGGATATAGTTCGTGTACACAACACAAACTGGTGTGGTTATCGAGGGTGAAGTGCAGCCAGATCCAAGGTCAGATCCTGGTTTCTACACAGACTTGACTGTGTCAATTTACCCTCTGGCCATCTCTGAGCTTTTGCCCTTCCGTATGATGCCTTCCCACAGTGAGGTTGTCTGAGGTTACTGCCGAATGGATGTCCTCTTTCAAGGCTCAGTAGAGGGTAGCTACCCTAGTTGTTACATGTCCGCTGTGGTCAGCCTCAGATTTTGAGGCCTGAACTGTGCTCAAGATACCTCATAAATGCTTATAGACTTCAGCCTCCAGCGATCACCTGCTATAAAGTCCAAAAACTGGAAGCAATGAAAAGGATCAGCATCCTGGCAATCCAGTTCCAGTGAGAGGACACGGATAGGGGAGAAGCACAGACGCGTATTTGGTCTGAAAGGCCAGGGGCGGGCAGCCAGGACAGAGCCATTGGAAGAACTGGCCCCTCCCTCCCTGTGTCATCCTATAACTCGTATAGCTGTCCTCTCATGTCATCTTCCTGGGACAGTTTTCTCATCTGTAACAATGAGTATATTCTTTACCACCGCATGTGTAGACACTGTTTATGTTTTAGGTTCTTTTTTTTTTTTTAAAGATTTGTTTATTTATGCAGACAGAACTGGGGTACAGGCCAGAGGTGCAGGGGTGGTGAGAGGCTTCACCAGAGACAGAGGCAGAACAGGCAGAACGACAAAGTACACTGCTGAGGGGAGCAGCGGCCGGGTCAGGAGAGGTCTGCCGCGCCATGTGGTCACCTCCGGGATGGGGATCGAACTCGTGCTACAGTGGCTTTAGCTTCTTCGTGTTGCGCTTTAACCTGCTGCGCCACCAGGGAGGGCTTTTACATGGGTTTTTAAAAAAACATGGGTTTTACATAGGCGAGTGACATGACCTGATTTTCACTTTAACCTTTGCTGCTATATGGAGACTGAATTGAGGGGTGAGGTTAGAAGCAGTCGGAGGCCTTTGGGATGATCGCAGTGCTCACTGTATTTGTTCAGTCAACAAGTATTTACCGTGTGTGCTGGGGACCACCGCAGGAAGGGGACATGACTGGCAAGACCAAGTCCTGCCCTCAAGACACTCAGGGCCACTCCCTCTGAGGGGCTGGAGAAGCCGGGGTCCTTTGATCTGCAGGGTTCTACCTCAGAGCCTCAGGTACCAGCATGAGCAGGACCTCAGGTGGGCCACTGAGGCCTGGGGAAGGAAGGGGACTGCAAGATAGCCGGTAGACAGCATGACTGTGACTGTCCTCCTGACCCCCACACTCAGAGCCCACATCATGCCCCCACCCATGCTTCTGACACCCCAGTATCTCCTGTGTCTTCAACCTTAACCCAACATGCCACTCTTCAGCTCCGAATGGCCCTTGACCAGGCCAGCCAGGCGCTCCAGGCTTCACGACCTCTTTCTCCTCCACAGGGAGGCCCCATCTGGCCCCTCCCCAGAACGTGACGCTCTTCTCCCGAAACTTCAGCATGTACCTGACGTGGCTCCCAGGACCCGGCAACCCTGAGGATGTGACCTACTTTGTGGCTTATAAGAGGTAGAGAGACCCTAATGGAGGGCCCGGCTGATGGGGGCAGGAGCCTGAGGAGGTGGCCGTGGCCGGGGAGTGCTCCCTGAGATAGGATGTGGTCTGTCCTCTGCTGCTCTGTCTCCATGGAGTCGGCATGTGGCCGCTGCTTGAAAAGGGTACTTGTAAAGGCCTGAAAGTGGTGATGCTGAGTGGAAGACAGTGCACAGCTCTGCCAGGGTGGGGTGGTGGTCGAGAACAGCCAGAGTAGGCCCAGGTGGAGCTGTGAGGTTCCCGTGATGGGGCCTGGATGAGAGACGTGGTCGCGCCTGCAGGTAACACAGAGCTCGTGCTGGGCTTCCCTGGAGAGCAGCCCTTCCCCCACGGAGCCTGCTCCCAGCCCTGGGGTCCTTCCCAACTCAGCAGGCAGCCGCTCCAAGTCCAGAGGAATCTAAAAAAGGACACAGATTTGCCATAGTAATGTCCAGAGCATAGAATAAGGCAAGGAGACAGAAGTAAGAGAGGGGAAGGCTTTATTGCGCTCCCAGGCGGGCGAGGTTCTCACAGTGGGGGCCTGGGGAGTCGCGCCCGGCGTACAGGCCAGCGTCTTTTATAAGTCCGGCCCTGTCCAGCCGGGGAGACAGTAGAAAAGTGCCAGTGAGTCATGCTGCCCTTTTGGTGAGCGCTTGCCCATTTGTTCAGGATCTTTGATTCTTATCAGAGCGGCTACCTGGGGTCAGCATCCTGACGCCAGTTCTGCCAGCGCATCTTGATACCCTGGATCCTTTCGCTGCTCTGGGGGCCTGGGCAGCCTTTGCACGTAGATGGGACTCACTTGAAGTTCTTTAGCAAGAGAGTAACATAAAAGCAGACACGCAGGAGGATTGCTCTACAATTGAGGAGGAAGCTGGAAAGGACAGGGACAGCTGAGCACTCAGTCCCCACCCCGGGCAGCCCAGGGCCAAGGCCTTGCCTGGATCTGGTCGATCCTTTAGCACAGTGGAGCCTTCAGGTCACAGACCCTTCCCCTTGGCCTCACCTCCCACCACACACACACACACACACACACAGTCAAAAAATCTGAGTATAACTCTTGGCTTCCCCACACTTTCCTGAGCTGTCCCTTGGTGTCCATGGGAGATTGGTTGTGTGATCCCCTTCTGACACCCAAACCCAAGGGTGCTCAAGCCCTTCTTTTCCTTTAAGCTTCAACTAATCGACATCTGGGCTTGATCGAATCTGTGAATGCAGAACCTAGATTTGGAGGCCAACTCCATTTATTGAAAAAAGTAATGCATGTACGGTGGCCCTCACAGTTCAAGGCCCGATGGTCCTTGGGCCAGCTGTATCTCACCTCTTCCTCCCAGCATCACCAGGCTGGCACTGCATTTTCTCCAGCCTGGAGGTGAGCAAACTGAGCTGGGAGAGGTGCTGCGACTTGTTCAAGGAAGCCAGTGAGGGGCCAGAATAGACTCCTGAATCTGTCTGAGCCATCATCCCCCCTGTCTGTAGCGCCCAGAGAGGAGTTGTGGGGACCAGGTCTGAGGAAGGGCAGAGCATTCCAGAAATTTATCACTCACTGTGTGTTGGTGTATCAGCGCTGCACCAATATGTCCAGTGTATGCACATAGCAAGGGTCAATGGCTCCACCCCACTGCGGGAGTGGAAGCAGCTGGAAGCTGGGGGTGGATGGGCTGAGACAAGCCGGCCCGAGAGTGGGAAGCCCACCCTCCGGACTGGTGTGTTCTCCTTCTCTTTACATTGTTGCACACCTGTGAGGATGCCAAATGGTGATACCTTTGGACTACCTTCATGAAGAGATGTTCCATCCCCCTACTATTTCATAATCAGTGGTAATATGCACATAGGCAAGATAGGGTAAATGTTCTACTTTTTTTAATTGACCAGTTCTCTAGGTAATGAGTGGTTCTTATCATCTCCCAAAGGTGATCAAGGATTTTTTAAACTATCATTGTGCGGGGCCCTCTCTGGTGGCACAGAGGTTAAAGTCTCAGTGTTATCAAACTATTGCCAGCCATGTGGTCTGAGTTTAATCCCCAGCCAGGGACCTGACTCACATGGCACAGCAGACCTCGCCTTCCTGCCCACTGCTTCCTCAGTCAATCCGCCTGTTCTGTTTTTACCCCTCTATCTGGTGAGTCTTCTCACCCCCTGCACCTCTGGCCTACACTCCAGTTCTTGTATGCATAAATAAATCTTTTTTAAAATTATCATTATGAGGCCCTCCCTGGTGGCACAGCGGATTAAAGCACAGCACTAAGAGGCTAAAGCCACTTCAGCATGAGTTCGATCCCTGCCCTGGAGGTGACCCATATGGTGCGGCAGACCTCTCCTGACCCACCCACTGCTCCCCTCAGCAGTGTACTTTGTCAGTCAGCCTGTTCTGCTCCCCACTCTGTCTCTGGTGAATACTTCCAGCGCCCCCACACCTCTGGCCTGTACCCCAGTTCTGTATGCAAAAATAAATCTTTTATAAAATTTTCATTATGAATGCAAATATCTACACATCTACACAGTTTCAATCCAATGCAACTTATTGTTGCAATAAATCTTGAGTTGCCAGATCTTGGCCAGCAAAGGTCTCTTCAAACTACCTCCGGAGTCCAAGCAGTCATTGATATTTTTATGGCTGGTTGTGGTGAAGAGATGCTCATTTGAAAAATTCCTGACCTAAAACCCGAAATCACTCATTTCTCCACTTTGCAGGAAATGGTTGTGGTTGTAAAGCATAGGACCTATGTGCTACTTTATATTCCTCACACAATCAGTATATAGCTAATTGTGTAGCTAATTGTTTCCTGTCTTTTCTGGAAACAGAATAAACACTCCTCTGGTTTCTGCTGGGCTGGCTGAGTCCCACTGATTTAGCAGTTGCATCCTGGGAGGCTTCTTCTGAACCCTCTTTCTGGTTCTTGGTAAGCAGGCTGAGTATTTTCTAAATCAAGTTCTGATGTCTTGCTTAACAAGTCCTTCTCTGTCTCCCTCCTCTTTCACTTTATGGGAAGCAATAGGAAAGCCCAGGACTCACCTTCAGTGCTTTGCTTAGACATCACCTCAGCTCAATATCCCAGTTCATCACTTTTAACGGCTCCCTGCAAAGCACAAGAGCCATTCCTGGCACGAAACCCAGCCTCATACCAAGGCCTATTTAAACGACACTTACCCCCTCCCCCCCGCCCTGTCAGTCTCCACCGCTCTCCGTCCTTTACACTGGGCTTTCACAGGCAATGATGTCCTTGCTTTTTCTGGCCAAGTCTGGTTCTTTCCCCTGCATGTCTTCCTTCACTGGCTTCCCCTCATCCTTGCATTGTGATGGTCTTTGTCAAGTTGCCTTTGGAAAGCAGGCACTCCCACTTCAACCCCCCCTCCCCCATCCCTTCATGCCACTACCTGCTCCCTGGCTTACCTGGGGATGTGATGATGGCCCCCATCCCCCTCCCACCAGCCTGTGGTTCCGGAGGCCAGGACCAGGTCTGTCTTGCAGTGCCCATCCTTGGGAATAACGTCCAGCGTGCAGGTCCCTTTTTTGGGCCTCAGTGTGCTTAGGAGGTTGGTGTCAGGAACCTGTGAGCTTCCCTTGATATGCACCCAGCACCCAGCACGGTACTGGCCAATGCTCTGATGGATAGAAACATGTGGCAAGTGGTGACTCGTCCAAGCAATAGCAGCTGCCACAGCCGTCCTGGGAAGGGCATGAGAGATGGGACTGAGGCCCAGGAACGATAACCTGCATCCAATCCCCGAACTAGCGAGGGACAGAGCCAGGACTCCAGAGCTTTGACTTGCACCTACATTATTCTTTCTTCCTCTGATTATGGCTTGCTGACTGGGGACCCGGAGGGAAGTGTGATCGTGTTCTCTCAGTGCTCCTGTTCTGAGAGGCAGGGACCACGGCTCCAGCTTTCCTGTCTCCTCCCTCAGCTCTCCAGTATCCGAACGGTGGCGAAAAGTGAAGAACTGCACAGGGACCAAAGAATTGGAATGTTCTCTGATGTGCCTGGAGAAACTGGACCTGTTCAACAAGGTCAAGGCACGTGTGCGGGCGGCTTCTCCCATCGGCAGGTCCTTCTGGGTAGAATCAAAGTACCTGGAATACCTTTTTGATGGTAGGTCTGGGGAGGCTCTCTGTCCGGGAACTTGGCTCAGTGGCTCTGCTGTGTGCTAGCATCTGTCTCAGAAAGATTTGTGGACTTGGCTTCTGCCTAGTGGAGCATATTTCCATGACATCCACAAGAGACCCATAAAGTTCTTGAGAACTTTGTATGAACAGAACCACTGTCAGCTGGACTAAAAGGAACATAAAGTAGGCATTGAATGCTGTCAGACCCCAGTTTCTACTGGCAAGAAGCAGGCTGTTTAAATTTGTTTAAGATTGCTTGATTTATGTATACAAGAACTGGGGTACAGGCCAGAGGTGTGGGTGTGTATGTGAGAGGATTCACCAGAGACAGAGTGGGGAGCAGAACAGTGGATCTACTGAGATACACTGCTGAGGTGAACAGCGGGCGGTCAGGAGAGGTCTGCTGCACCATGTGGGTCACCCCCCTGGCTGGAGATCGGCTGTGTGGCTGAGATAACTTCAGAGTGCTGTGATTTAACCCCTTGCACCATCGGTGAGGGCCCCTGTTTAAATTATTTAAGTGAAAACATCTGTTACCTTTCACAAACAGGGGAGAATGATTCAGGGGTGGAGCTATGGGCCTGGAGAGTGGTGCTAGGAGCCGAGGAGGAATGTTCCCAGAATCCTGCTGGGGTTGACCTAGCTGGGGTTGAACTGCTTGGCTCAAGGACTCATTTTTACCTTCGCCCGCTCCCTGTCAGAACCAGGATATCCATAACTATTATCTGATGCTTGTCTCATTTTATGTTGGGAGCAGATGATTTGTTCTTTAGTTTCACTGGTCCCAAATGAATGGGAGCTGTGCCCAGGTATTGCACTGAATGGAGTGTACCCAGAATGTCATCTCCGCCGGATCTGAGTTCTTTTTTTTTTTTTAAAGATTTATTTATTTATTCGTACAGAACTGCGGTACAGGCCAGTGATGCGGAGGGTGAGAGGATTCAGAGACAGAGTGGGGAGCAGAACAGGCAGATCGACGAAGTACACTGCTGAGGGGAGCAGCGGGCAGGTCAGGAGAGGTCTGCCACGCCATGTGGT